CCGTTAGATTCAGGGAGAGGCTGAGTCGCAAGCTGACGCTCTCGTACCTGTGACAAGGCTGCCTGGGCGTTTAAAGCTGAAAGAGAAATTGAACAAGTCAACAGAGATACACAAGACTGTACATACATAAAAAAATTCAAAGGCTGCATTTAAACGTACCTGGGTTGTCCTTGTCAATATCGGAGTCCAGCTCTTGACAAGCAACACAGTAATTTTTCTTCTGCTTATCTTGCAGCAGAATTGTCTGCAAATATATAGGACATTCCTTCCCTCATACACGCTTCAATCAATAATAAATATTAATTAAATACTAGCTATTATAATTCCAGTGGGGTCCTGTTTAATCTTAACCCCATTTTTTTGTATTTCATACCGTTTAATACAATGCTGTGATGCTTTAATTTGTAGCTGTTGAATTTCATTTATAGTATACATTGTCACATAAAAACACAAAAAATGACTAAAATGTATGTGTATTTATATATATATATATATATATATATTTTTTTTTTTTCTATTTTAATATATTTTGAAACATGCTTTATTTCTGTGAATTAATGCTTAGCATTATTACTCCAGTCGTCAGTGTCACATGATAATTTAGAAATTATTCAAATATGCCAATTTGGTGCTCAGTATAATTAATATCTTATTATCATCAGTATGGAAAACGCTTGTGCTGTTTAACATTTTTGTGGAAACTGTGACTTTTTCAGGATTCTTTGATGAATAGAAAGTTCAAAGACCAGCATTTATATAAAAAACACTATACATGTCTTAACTGTCACTTTTGGTCAGTTTAATGCATCCTTTTTCTTTAAAAAATAAATATGTAAAATCTTACTGACCCTCTTTTGAAAGGTACTGTAAGGACGTATCTATTAGGGCTGCACAATTATGACAAAAATCATAATTGTCGATTTTTCCCTTAAAATTGTAATTGCGATTATTAATTACGATTACCACAATTTACATTGATTGAATGATGTTTATACCATTGTTTGAAGTAACTGCATGCCATATTTTTATATAAAAATAAACGAGCTGAAAACACTATATGAAAAACTTTTATTGCTTATATAAGCCTCAAATGTCAACTATATTGGATTTGTTTCTTCTTTAAATAAAAAAAAAAGTAAAAATTAGCATGGTATTATAATGTTATACTAAAACTAAAAGTAAAACAATGGAAAAACCTTAAGATAACCTGTAGAAAGAAAAAAACCCACATCTTAAGCACTCAGAATAACATAAGTGGACTTTGAATGATTAATTGCCACTTTGAACGATTATGTATTTGTGGCATCCGTAATTGTAATCGCGATTAGAAATACGATTAATTGTGCAGCCCTACTATCTATCATTATTGGCCATAATTTACAATCTACAGATACCTTACTGTACATTTAGTTATTACAATTTATTGAAAGGCTCTCGCAGGTACTTCGACTAATAAAACACTAATTTTATGAAGTCACAGATGAATGAATGTAACACATGTTTCTCTCTCACCCCACACAGCTCACAGCAGTCCCCCAGCATCTTGTAGCCCTTCAGCAGATAGTCTCCCATCAGCTTGCTGATCTTGTCCTGCCGCTCCCGGCGAGCCTGAATCACCTTCATCTCCGCCTCGGAGGGAGGCTCCCATTCAAAGTCATCTAGATTCATCAGAGCACACAGATTCCTCATGTGTCTGGCTCATTGATGTACACAGATCAGAAACAACCAGCTAGCATCTGTGTATATGGAGCTTTCAGACAGTTATACGACCTCACTAATAGTCAGTTATGCTAAAGAGATTGCGAAGAGTTAGATAATATGAATGAAATAAAGACAGACAGACACTGAAGCGCTCGCTAACCTGCTAGCCTGAAGATGGTATTTTAGCGCGGCTGCAAGTGCACTACAGTACTTTAGCTCGACGGAAGTAAATGAAGTAAAGTAAGATTAATGAAAGATAACAATAGGGAACTCAGGAGCAGAATAAATATTTATTCACATTTTACCTGCGTTTAGGGCCATGCTTTCCTCAGCCGCCTCACAACACAGATAACGTTTCCTGCTCGAAACTTCAGCGGTGAAATGTACAAAGTGCTGTGAAAACGGACTGGCGCCATCTAGCGAACGGAATGTAGAACCTGCAGTTTTGTTTGCACTTTGATTGGAAATGACATTTTATATATACACTACCGTTCAAAAGTTTGGAGTCAGTAAATTTTGTTCTTTCTTTTTAAAAAGTAATTAATACTTTTATTCAGCAAGGATGTGTTAAATGGATAAAAAGTGATAGTAAAGACTCATATTGTTAGAAAAGACTAATTTGAAATAAATGCTGTTCTTTTTAACTTTTTATTCATAAAAGAATCCAGAAAAAATTATCAGTCTCCAAAAAAACCCCCCCAAAAAACATGAAGCAGCACAACTGCTTCCAGCACTGATAATAAATCAGCATATTAGAATGGTTTCTGAAGGATCACGTGACACTGTTTTGCCATTCATTTTATTATTATCTTATCATCATCATCGAATCTGATGGTTCAGTAATAAAGGTTCAGTAATAAAGATGTTTTGAATTTCAAACAACATGAAAACTGAACTACAATGTGAGTAATTACATTTACACAGACACACAAAAGATTTTATGATGTTATCACACCAACACTTAAAATCAAAATCTAGTCTGCTCAGTTGAGTGTCATTACAGCTGGTTTGGGTTTTGCTCTTGCAATCCCAGCAGTGTCCATTACAGTCTCCTCTCCAACTATACTGTCCTCTCGCCAGTTTCCACGCCACAGTGTGCTGAGCCAGTGCAAAGTGCTGTCGTCCCAGTTTTCTGGAAGCTGCAGCATGAGATACCCTACTGAGATGATGCCGGCTGCCGCCGCTCGCACATGGCTCATTTGCAGAGTTTCAGTCACAAATGCATCTACAGCTTATGAGTGACAAAAAGAGAGCAATAGACTTGACAATTCTCAAGGTGCAAAAATTAAATACTACACATCTGGTGCTTAATCACATTTACACACGCAGGCCTACAGAGTGCTGCAGGGATGACATATTTTTGCAGGCCAAACCCAGAAATGAGTATTTTTGCACTTCATGAAGTCAGTGGGTTTCTTGAATGAGTTTTTTTTTTCACGTTTCATTTTACAACATAAAATATCTTAGTAATAGCTCCTTATGATTTTTCAAGTAAAGTCAGTTAAGTCACCTTTATTTCAGGAAAATATCGGAATCAATTATGGAAAGTCATCCATGGAGACAGTTCAGATTCTGCTGTAAAGCAGCTCTAAAGCAAGTCAATAGTGTCAATATTTAGCTCAAGTCAGTTCAGTGTTGGTTCAGTTCAGATAGGGCCGTATAATTAATTGCATGTATTTCTGCTACTCTCGATTTATTGAGCGTAATCATATGTGATATTTGTTTGCTATTTTGCTATTTGTATTGGCATTTGCGTTATCTTGCATTGGTAAAAAGCCTTTCATGTTTGTGGTTGCCAGATTTTGAGAGTTTAAATCCCCCATCAGAGCTTTTATTATCTTGAAAAAGGTGGTTACTAAGTGGCTAAATAGGACTCCAGAGGTTGTCAGGGACATAAAATATCATCACACCAAAAAGGAAAACTCATCTACTCACTAGTCCACTTTTACAGCCAGTGTTTATATTTGGGCTCTTGCAAACTGTTCTAACGCAAACTTTCAGGGAAAATGTTTTTAAGACTGAAAGAGTTGTTAAAGTCATGCCTACATTATAGACTACATTTAGCTTTTTACTTTTGCCGATTGTATTTAGGTTTCATAGATCATAAAAGTTGTGTTTATGTGTGAAGTTTATCGTGATGAATTAAACTTGTAAGAATCATAAACGTTTTTGGTCACAGAGCTTTTCTGCAATAATCCAAAAGTAAAAATCCCATTGGGCTTTTGTCCTACAAAAATACATCATCACTGCAGCGCTCTATTGCATATGTCTGTGAGGCTTCAGGTTTATTTGACAGCTTATTTATAATCAAATACATACCTGCACTCGCTGGGATAGTCAAGAGAATTCCCAGTGAAATTAAACTGGGGTACGTGAATATTCCTCCCAGATTTACCAGCAAATTGAAAACTTAAGAGAAAACAGGACAGGAAAATTAAATAAAACATACCTCATATAAAAGCAAATAAAATCTTTTATATAAGGCATAAGTAATTTTTAACATTGTACAATCATTATTACATAATGTGTAGTGGAAAACAAAAGCATAAATTACCAAGCAGTAGAGAAGCCATGACACAGAGTTTATCCCAGGGGATGTGCTGAGAGGGAGGCCAGTATTCCACATGTGTGAAATAAAGCACACACACCCAGGAGTAGAGGACAAAACTACACAGACCCACACAAGACAGCAACACACTGGCAGCGCCTGGCTGGACATTTCCTGCACGCTTTCTGAAAAGCACCTGAGACAAGAAAACATCAACTATTACCATAAAACTGCAGAAAATTACATTTGTATCAGTTGTTTACACACATACAAGTTTAAAGAAATCCCTTAACCTTATACACACTTTCTGGAGGTTTGTAGTGGACACACTTACATTAGTAGACACTGACAATTGATAACAAATCAGTTAATCGCTTATAGTAATTGCATAACTTGACAAGGTCACGGAATGAATCACTATACCATTCTGAATGAATCTTTTTAGTGAACTGATTCAAAAGAGTCACTGGGATGAATTCACATCCTCACCACTAGTGCTGACCTTGAATAAAGCAGAAGCTGAAGCTGAACCAACTCCCAGTGCCACTCCTGTGATTGAATCACTATGGAAACCATCCCCATAGGCCAACATAACAATGCCAGTTATGGACAGGATGGCAGCCACTATCTAAATACAGAATAGACAAATACGAAAAAACAAAAAAACAAAACAGATTACTTCAAAACTGGTGATAAAACAAGCAATAATAAAATCACTCACACAACACTATCTTATTTGATTGCTCACCCTGACACCCATGAAGCGGTCCTTGAGTCCAATCCATGAAAGGAGGAAAACAAAGGCCTGGCTGCAGCAGAGGACAGCACTTACGTCCACTTTGGGGATGCGGCAAAGCGCCAACAAGTACAAATAACCAGATAAACTCCATAGCACAGAGAATGGAGCGGCTCCTTTCAGAACATTCCTTACAGTCAACTCTTCACCCAGGAACTGACTGCACTTTCTGCAATTCACAAGAGGATCAAAATATATACAGCATGACGCATCCAAATGCCATTAAGTTTCAAACAATGCTGACACATAACATATTTCTATCACATAATTTTTAAGTAAGGAAATAGGGTAGACTGGGCTGGGGCAAGTTGTCACATAAGCTTTATCTTAGTAAGTCGTTTTTGAGTAAAAAGTCCAATAACACAAACATGTCTTTTCTCTATCAGAGGGTTTGTAAAACCTAATTCAAAAACCTTTGAAATCAGAGGCAAGTTGTCAAATATGTTTTAAAAGAATGAATTTCTAATGTTTTAAAATGTATTACTTAAAAAATATTTGTCAAAACAATGTCTCTCTATTGGGGTATGTTGTCACAAAAGGGTAAATGTACCTTAAATAAACTTTATATTTTTCCTTGATTGTCCAATGTACATGAATCTAAAATATGTACAGTCAATGTTATATACGTATACATATTTATCTGTTTCTATTATTTGCATTATTGATGTGAAATTAGCGTATATTTCTCTATCAGAAACAGATCAATGACAAAAATGTAATTTCTGACACATTAAACTTTTGTGACAACATATATGTATATACATAGGGTTGTGACAACTTGCTCCTGTCCACTTATGAGATAATTTAAAGAATTAGTTTGTTGCATGTGAACATTCTGCAACATAAACTGATATACGGATCTTTAACTGGTAAAGAAGAATGCATGCAGTTTTAGCTGGCTACTTTATAAATAGAAAACTCTAAACCCCATGTGTAAAAATACAGCTTAGTCAGGACTCTGTGCATGCACACTACAATTTATAATAAAGCTGCAGCCTACCTCATCTGATATTGCTGAAGGTTTTGCAGCCAGTGTCAGTGATGACTTTGCACTGATAATGGGCTGCTGGCCAGGCATTGATTCATTAATGAAAAGTTGTCATTTGTTTAACTGTAGAAGCTGAGAGGATTAGAGACTGAAAGCAGCTTGCACTAAACAGCTTAAATTAAAATAAGATTTATATACAATAATGATTATTTAGATTGAACTTGCTTTAATTGCTTCTGCACTCTAGAAAATTAATATTGCATGAAAGATGTACAGCTGGGGGTTTGGACTGCAAAACATGCATCCCAACATGAGCAAGTCATAAAGATATGCATGCTTAAAAATAAAAGTTACAAAATAGCGTTTTAACAGCAATTTTTAATATGCAATGGATGCAGTGCAATGCCCAGTGGAAAGTTTCCATGTATAGTAAAGATTCTTCATGGAACCATCCAATAAAGAACCTTTATTTTAATGAGTGTACATAAAACAACATTCATTTAAAAATGTTTTCTTCTAACCTGAACTCGGTGGTTGGCAACTGCTTCTGTTTCTCCGTGAGAAGATGACACAGATAGTAGAGTGGAAAAAAGAGAATGTTCCAGATGCTACAAAACCAAACGATAAAGAACGGGGCGGGATGTCTTATCAGAGTCTCTTTAGCACTATTAGTACCCCAGGCCCAGGAAACAGCTACACAAGCCCCTAAAATGAGCCCACATGTCACCCTCTGTACGGCTCGGAATGGACATCGAGTGCAACAGCGTTTAGACAGTCTTTCTGCATCAGATTCATCCTGAACTAAAGTCTGCTCCTGAGGATCCTTCTCACTTGCTAAGAAGAACAAACACAAGACATTTAAAGAATTACAAACGCCTTTCCTTCCTACTTCAATAACAGATTTCCAGACCAAAAAGAAAGCACCAACAGACTATATGAAAAAGCTGAAAAACGTTACCTGGTGTGGGCAGGTGAAGTGTGACAGGTTGGGGTCCGGAGGAAGGAGATATCTTGGCTGAGAGTTTGTTCATTGCTCGTTGTGCTCTCTTTAAAAAAAAAAAACCCTAACCATTG